ATTTAGGAGTCCTGTGGCTGCTATCTTGGTGTGAGTACCTCATTCCTTTCTTTAAAAAAATACCCCACATACATAGTTTCTATTTTATCATTATGTTATAACCTAAAACTATATTTAACACACTACTTAAGAAAATGAATACAGCATAACTTTCAAACATAACACATATAATATTCATTTTAATATTTACAAAAAGCCAATCATAAAATTCACATTTTTCACATCCTGTCTTGAAACAGCTGAGATTTGCAAATGCTCATCACCATACTGACCCCACAAATGTGTGTTCTGTTAGATTTATTTTATCATTTCAGTCACAAAGGAAGTGGAGGAGAGGTTGATTTTTGTTTTTATCATGGACTCATTGCTTTCTTATCCTGTCCAAGGTACCACTACCCTTTCTCCCCAGCCACAGCCCAGGAACACAAAGCCTCCCCTGAAGAGGATTCAGTGCTGTAAGTTCTGCATGCAAACCCAAACAGAATAAAAAAGTAATAAAAGGGGTATGGACAAAGTGGAGAGAGTTTACCAAAGGACCATTCCAGACCATGAGGACAACACTTATCTGAAAATACTCATTTTCAGGCACCAGATCCCTGCCCTAGAAGTGCTAATTTCCATTTTGATGTGAGCCACCCTGCTCACAGGGTGAGCCCAGCCAGCAGGCTCAGAGTCCTGAGACTTCATGTGGGCAAATGGGAATCCACTGGTGCAGCTCCCCCAAAATCATGCAGTGAAAAAGGAGTTTAATCCCACTGATCTGGATGTCTGGAAGCTGCTGTCTCTGAACCAGGGACTCGTCCAGGCTTCCTCTGTATTCATTAAAAAAATGTGGGCCCTTTGGCATATTGTCTGTTCCCTCTGGTTTAGTGTTGTCCACATAAAAGATTCCAGATATAGAATCAAGAAAGAGTTTAACCTGGTAGTTTACCTGAAACTTCCTGGGGTTTTAGTGCTTAGTTTCATTTAACGGAACCATTTTTACTATTTTCTTTTTTTTTTTTTAATTATGAATTATACTTGTCTTATCCCCCCTGCTCTTTTTTCTTCAGTTTCCCCTCTTCATCACTTCTTTTAGAACACACAGTTGTGTAATTCTCTAGAAATGCTGCTCTAAGGACTCCAGCATATATGACATGGGGAGAAATAAACTTTATTGCCAATAAAGTAATATGACAAAAACAATGCATTTTTTTGGTCATTCATTTGAAACTTAAAAGATTGCAGTATGAGAACATTTTCATACCACCACCCTAAAACAAAAAAAGTTTATATGGCTAGATATCTTTCTGGTTTTGTGTACATGTGATTCTTTTAATTTCCCTCTATTAGCCTGTTTAATCTGTTACATTTAGTAAATGTTCCCACTTTACAGAACCTGTTTTTCCTGGTGGAAAATCTAGGAATCAAGACTGGTGGGTTCCCAGTCAGTGACCCATCCACAGAAGCCTGCACAAGCAATGAGAATGGAGAGCAGTGACCTCTGCTCTGTGTCCTGTGGACATAAACCTGTCAGAAAAACACAAATTTAGTACAAGGTCTTTGGTCTTACTGGACCAGGCTCTCTCTGTGTAGAAGTAAAACTGGATTTTCCCCAAGATGCACCACAGCAACAGGCTGAAAATAATTGTAAAGCTGATTAATTTGCATTCAGCTCTATTTACACCAGCTGTTAAATGTAGTTCACATTGTATATGAACTTATATAAATAATTAAATAGTGTTTGTGATGGAGTCTGGAGGCACACTGACACTGAAACTGAAAAATCTCTTGTGGGGCTCATCTCTCAGAAAAAGAAAATCTGAAACTTCTGTGCCACAATGCATTTATGTATATTTTATTTCTCCCTCTATAATATTTCTAATATTTTTTTAAATTTTCATTTGCAGAAAAACAGAGTTGCATGAAACATCTCTGATGCTCCCATGGTAAGTGTACCTGCTCTGGCTTCATGACCCTGCAATCCCATTGATGTCAGAGACACAGACTGGCACTGACAGCACAGCTGAGGGCAGGACAAAATGAACAGGAAAGGACGTTTTAGAAAAGCAACTCTTCCAGAAACCATCAGAAATGCACAGATGAACAATCTTTAATTTGTAACTTTCAGAAAGGAAACTGATACATGATGGTGAATGTTGAAAATATTTTGGTTTAATTTTATCATAATTCATTTTTTTGCATCCTCTGTCACCACTCAGAAGCTAAAAAACAAGGTGCCTTGGCTGGTACTATTTTTTTGTGGTGGCAGTCAGCATCATACGTGATGTCTAAATACCTGTGGAATTAACATTTAGGTCACTGGGATAAACTATTTTCTGGAATTGCCTATTATAGAGCCATTTGCAGTAGGAAAAAAAATCAAAACAAAATAAAAAAAGTAATAAAAGAGGCATGGACATACTGGAGAGGGTTTACCAAAGAATCATGAAGGGCTGGAGCTTGTCTCCTATGAGGGAAGGCTGAGAGAGCTGGGACTGTTCAGCTCAGAGCAGAGCAATCTCCCATCTGCTCTGGAAAGTAGCCTGGCTGAGTGTGGGAACAGAAAACCAGAAATCTCCACAGACACTGAAAAATTTGATCTGTAACCTTGGAAAAAATTTAGATTCTATTATATATAAACTATATATATATTTATATATATTTATATTTATATAGACATATATAGAAATATAAATAAATTTATTTATAGAAATATATTTTATATAATAAATATATATTAAAATATTTACATATATCTTCAATGTAAATAATATATATAATTATATGTATAAATACAATATACAGACATTAAGCAGAAAAAAATCATAAACTTGAATTTCTATAGTCGTAGGTGAGAATGTGCCTTAAGTAAGGGAGAAACTGGACTGGGAAGATGGTGAAAGGTTATATAAAATAAAAAGTGTGTGGTTGTAAAAAATAAACTGAGAGTTTAGAATTTATAATAAAAGCCAATGTGTGCATGTGAGTTAGAAGATCATTGGGTAAAAATATCCACAGTGCAGCAGAAGTGAGTACAGGTGAAGGGTTAGAAAAGCAAAGTAAATCCTGTGGCAACTGTCCATTGGGTTAAAAAGTTGTATATTGCCTTGTAACAAAGAACTTGTGACTACTTTGAGCTATGGCTGAATGCTTGCTCCTCTAAAAGCTCACAGCCCCTGAGACTGATGTTTGTCTGAGCAATAAATCTTTCTGAGCTTGAAAATATTCCCACCCCTTCCTTTCCAGCAGTGACAGCTGACCTAACTAGCAGAGCTGCAAACTCCATTCCCAGTGGGAAGATGTTCTTCTGAGATAAAGCAGTAAACAACAGCCCAGGAAGCATCAGGGAAATACCTGTCCATCATCCCAAAGGAATTAGGGAGCAAATTAGGGATCTCCTCCTCCTCCTCTTTGCAAAGGAGGAGGAGATAAACAGCCCAGCTGGAGAGCCTCCATCCACGCTCAGGGAAGGCTAACTAGCAGAGCTGTAAACTCCATTCCCAGTGGGAAGGAGATGTTCTTCTGAGATAAAGCAGTAAACAACAGCCCAGGAAGCATCAGGGAAATACCTGTCCATCATCCCAAAGGAATTAGGGAGCAAATTAGGGATCTCCTCCTCCTCCTCTTTGCAAAGGAGGAGGAGATCAACAGCCCAGCTGGAGAGCCTCCATCCACGCTCAGGGAAGGAGCAGAAATCTGTGCTGCACTCAGAAATCTGTGATGAATTGGATGTGAAGATTTGAATTATGATGGCAGAAAGAAATTATTCATGAAGTCCTTCAGCCAGTTTCCTTAAGAGGGATATTTCTCAGAGAGGAAATTGGAATCTGCCCACCTAATGTGATACAACCAGGGGATGAATTCAAGTTTCTTGAGAAATAGGATGAAGGGTCACATGAATGAGACTTTTCCTGCATTTATATATCCGTTAAATGGTGATTTTTACACAACACAAATACTTTGTTGGGTATCTTTAGTCTTGCATGTTTAAGAATTATGAACAACTATTAATTATTATATATAATAATTAATTGAATTATTGAATACTAGAATAGAAATAATTATTTAATAACTATATAAAATCTTATTATGGTGTTGTTATATTATATCTAAATATGTTCTATTGATAATCATTGAATAATTATTAATTAATATAATTATTTTATATATATATATATATATATATATATATGGAGAGCTGTACATCTGGAACAGTGCAGCTGAGGGCTGAGAGCTTTCCAGGAGAGACAGGCTGGAACAATGGGAGGATGTGCTGGGCTCTGTGTGAAGGGATGAATGATTGTGAAAAGCTCCTCTGAGTGACAGCTTGGGAGCTGGGGGGTGAAAATCAAGGACAGACACCTAGTGCAGGTGTCTGCTCCAGGATAAGGTGGCTTGATGTTGCAGTAAGATAGAAAAATTATAAAGAAATAAAAAAAAAATCAGGCCTGCTCCGTTAAATTACTGGCTGGCCTTGTCAGGATAACACTTTGCAAGTTCCCGTGTAAAAGCAATCGTGGTGTGAGCAGTTCAATAACATTAACAATCTATTCCTGGGTGAAAAAACACCAGCAACTGCATAAACATTTAATCTAACCCATGAGAAGCAGTGAAAAAAATGTCAACAACTGAAGAGCAGAGAGACTTAATAGACCAATAAAATACCTTTTACTAACCAATAAAGTAACAAGTAAGCTGCTTGTAAGTAGCTTAGTAGTAACTACTACTTGTTACTTGTAAGTAGCTTAGTACTAACAGGTAAGCTACTACATAAACTAACAAGAAAGCTACTGAACAACTGGAGTCACACACGAGTATAAAAATGTGTAATGTGAATAAAAAATGGGCTTTTTCCACCATGAAGAAAATGGAGTCTGGTGTGATATCTCAGATTTTGCTGACAGTACTTTCTTGATTTCAAAGTGAGACTGGAATGATTAAGTCAGTGTTATATCTGTGTTTGTTTTGATGAATTTCCTGGGCCATCTCAACCCTGCTTTCCTTCCCACCCCCTGCAGGAGACGGGATGTGCTGGTCTTGACCCCATGGCTGGCTCCAATTGTCTGGGAAGGCACTTTCAGCAGAGACATCCTGGACGCTCAATATCTGCAGAAGAACCTGGTCACTGGAGTGGTCACTTTTGCTGTTGAAAAGTATTGGTTTGTCATTTTTTTCTTGTCAAATAGTTACACCTCTCTGCAGTACTGCTGGTGGAGCACTATTGTATCTGCAAGGGATGCCCCAATGAAGGCAGGAATGATGAATCTGACTCCATGTTCTCAGAAGGCTAATTTATTATTTTATTATACTATATTATATTAAAGAATGCTATACTAAACTATTCTAAAGAATACAGAAAGGATACTTCTAAATGCTAAAAAGATAATAATGAAAACTCGTGACTCTCAGCAGAGTCCTGACACAGCTTGGCCCTGATTGGCCCATGAGTCAAAACAACTCACACCAGAGTCCAATGAAACAATCACCTGTAGGTAAACAATCTCCAAGTACATTCCAAAGGAGCACAACACAGGAGAAACATATCAGATAAGAATTGTTTTCCTTTTCTCTGAGGTCTCTCAGCTTCCCAGTAGAAAAATCCTGGGATTTTTTTAATAGAATGTGAATGCCACAGAGCACAAGTGAGAAACATTCCAAAGACTGAATGTGAGCAGCTGTAGACTGGGAGAAATGTGATATGTCAGTGTCACCTTCCAGAGTAAGGCAGCTGGCTGGGAATTGTTTTGAATAGGACAAGAAAATAGTCTTGGAAATATAACTAGCATTTTTGGCCCATTTAAATAAAAATTCTAGCTGCTGCTACATTTCTAACATGCTTTCCCTCTATCCTGCACTAAAAAATAGAAAAATTCTGTGAAGTTGAGATTTTATTTGGTTTCTGTAAGAGTTTAAAGGCAAAATATTAGCTCTAGTAAAAACATTAATCACACTGTTACAGCTTGGGGAGGTTCTTTTTTGAGTTTCTGAGCTATACTCTATACCCTGTACCTCCACTGTCATCTTGAGTTACACAGCAGCTTCAGGCAATCAAAACTATTTAATTGATAATTTTTGCCCTCTCCTATGAAAGCAGTCTGAGAGAATTGGGGTTGTTGAGCCTGGAGAAGACAAGGCTCCAGGCAGAGCTTAGAGCCCCTCCTGTACCTAAAGGGGCCCTACAGGAAAGGCGAGAGGGATTTTTTACAAGACTGGGTAGTGACAGATGAGGGAGAATGGCTTTACACTGGAAGAAGGTAGATTTAGATCACATATTAGGAAGTAATTCCTCACTGTGAGGGTGGCAGGCCCTGGCACAGGGTGCCCAGAGAAGCTTTGGCTGCCCCTGGATCCCTGGAAGTGCCCAAATCCAGGTTGAACAGGGCTTGGAGCAGCCTGGGTAGTGGAAGTTGTCCCTGCCATGGCAGGGGGTGGAATGAAATGGTCTTTAAGGTCCCTCCCAACACAAACCATTCCATGATTCTCTGTTGATCCTCTTTAGGAAGTTAAAATATTCCACTGCAGAAAGAGTGCCAGGGAGGGATCAGAGGAAATATTTACATTATGGAGTGATATTAGAGAGCAGCATTGGGTGAAAGGCGCCTGTTCTGTGAAAAGCTAAAATGTAAATGTGCAGCAGCATGGGGAAGGTCTGAAGGGCAGCAGCTATGTTAAATAAAGCGCACTAACACCATGAAAAGGAGTAATGGATGGAAAAAGACAAAGAAAATTTATTTGAAAAGCTGTCATTCTTCAGCAGGAGGAACCTCTCCATTCTTTTCCTTTCCATGTCTCTTAGAGATGTCCAGTTCATAGAAGGGTTCATGAGCTCTGCCAACAAATACTTCCTTGCTGGGCACCCCGTGATCTTCTACCTGTTCACAGACAGTCCCGAGAAGATCTCCCACCTTCAGATGGCCCCTGAGAACCACCTGTTGGTCATCCCTGTGCAGAAGGACCCCAGGTGGCAGGACATCTCCAGCAGCCGCATGGACATCATCAGCTCCTACATCCAGAGGCAGTTCCAGCACGAGGTGGACTATCTGTACTCCATGGACATCAACGTCCAGCTCCTGGCACACATCGGCGTGGAGATCATCGATGCCCTGGTGGCCACCATCAGCTCCTGGCAGGTCACCCCACAGCAGGACAACAAAGCCTCCGAGACACACCCTGACTCACAATCTGCCATCCCTGAGGGACAAGGGGATTTCTACTACACAGCCAGCTTCTATGGGGGCAGCGTGTCCGAGGTGTACAAACTGACCCGAGCCTGCTCTGCAGGGCTGCTGCAGGACAGAGAAAATGGCATTGAGACCCCCTGGCACCACGAGAGCCACCTCAACAGGTACCTCCTGCAGCACAAGCCCACTCGCCTGCTGTCCCCAGAGTACTACTGGGACACAGAGCTGAGCCCCAGCAGCATCCAGGTGAAGAGGATGTGCCCTGTGCGCCAGCACAGCCAGGGGCAAGCTCCTCAAACAAAGAATGTGAGGCCTTTCTCTTCACAGCCCCACTAAACTGAGGCTTGGGGCGAAGGAAGTTTCCCTCTGTTTGTAGGACTGCACACATTTTCTCACATAAAGTGGGTCTCCTTAGCTAGGGACTACTAAACCTGTTGCTGTTATATTTTTGGGAATTTTTTTTTTTTTGCCAGGATACTAAAGAAAAACTCATTACTCTCTCCTCCAGAGTCCAACACAGCTTGGACCCTGATTGGCCAATAAGTAAAAACAATTCACACGAAACCAATGAAACAATCACCTACCACATTCCAAAGCAGCAAAACACAGCAGAAGCAAACGAGATAATTATTGTTTTCCTTTTTCTCTGAGGCTTCTCAGCTTCCCAGGAGAGAAATCCTGGCAAAGGGATTTTTGCAGACAATATGATGGTGACAGGAGGACTGGCTGTGAATGTGGACAAGTGCCAAGCTGATAAGGTGGAGCAGGCCAGGAAGTCACACATGAATCAGGATGGATCATTCTGGGATGACCTAACCTCTAGCATGGTAAATCACTGCCTCAGCATGGAAGTTATGGCCTCTAAACAGAGATTCATGCTGTGGGTCAGGTTTGACAGGACCAGGGCACAGAAAATCCGGGCTTCTAAAAAAATTGTTATGGACATGGCTGAATAATGAGTGGAAAAGACCAGAGTCTTTAGATTGGGGTAGTGGGAAAATATGAGGCCAGAGCAGGTTGTGATGCAGAAGTGAATATAACTAAGGAGACAGGTCAGCCTTACACACTATTCTGCACTGCCAGGTAATTGCAGCTGTACACAAAGCCATCTCCAGAAATGCCTCCAGCAGTGCTTGTGACACAGTTCTGCAGCTCTGCTGAACCACCCCCACGCAGCCTCCCCCAGCTCCTCCTGCCAGCAGCTGGCATTCCTGTCTCTCCAGGTGCTGCCTGCAGCACAAATCCAGCAAATCCAGGCTGCTGCTCCCATCTGCTGCCCGTGGTGTTCACTGCAAGCCTCTCCCTGCCTGGCAGCCAGCAGCAACAGCAGCAGCTTGAAATAATCTTCAGGGGTGCTCTGCACAAAGGAGAACTTAAACAGAAGTTACACTATGGATGTGATGCCTCAGGTTTTGGCTTTTCTATTTTTCAGATTCTGTGTCATTTTAGGGTGTGGGTCTGGACTTCACATGAGGGGATGGTGAGCTCTCTGCACAGAGCAGGGAGACAAAACAATTCCTGCTCTAGCTGGGGACCAAGGACAAATGATCCAAATCTCAGGCCCAAGGGCATAAACAACGTGGAATGAAGAGAGAAAAACAAGAAGGATGGGACTGCATGGGCTGGGGCTGTAATTGGACAATTAACTCCAATATGCAAATGGAGCAGCACTTATAAAAATGAGAGACCCCGTGACCAGTGGGGCATTTTGTGACCATTTTGGCTTGTGCTTCCCAAGGTGAATCTATTTGAGGCCTCTTAATAAATCCCTACTTTGTTCTTTAGCTCTGTCCAGTCTCTGTTCTAGCTCAGCCTTCTCAAGGCATCAGATGTACCAGATCAAAGATGTTTCACTGCTGTCAGACATCAGGAAACTTTTGGTGACAGTATGTGACTGAATGAGCCTGAGGAGCAGGCTTGGCATGAAGTAATGTAGGAACACCTCCCTCGACCTGCTGTCTGTCAGATTAATCCCTTTTCTGACTCAGAGATGGGGTAATTGAGAGGAGTTTTAAAGACTTTTATTGCATTTTCAGTCTCACGTGAAGGGTGAGACAATACAGATGTTATAATTCACACCATTACAATCAGAAGCCAATTATTTCTTAATTACAATACATTATAAGCCAAGTTTCTTGGCCTACCAGCTTTTGCCACACCATGCTGTAAATGCCTTAAAGCCAATCATCTAAAATTACCCCTCGTGGGTCCTACTACAATGCATCTTTCATCTTTCTGTTCTAATTCTCCAAAGTATCTAGTGTTATTTGCAAGGCTACAGCTGGCCATGTTTTTATCCAGACCAGGATGAAATTGGCCTTGTGGGTTGCAAGCATGCATTGCCAGGTCATGCTGAGTTTCCATCCCCTCCCCAAAGCCCCACATCTTTCTCCTCAGGGTTAGTGTCAGTTCATTGGCACTCAGACTGTTCCTGTGCTGGGGATGTCCTGACCCACATGTGGGACCTTGCACGTGGCCTTGAAGATCACAAGATGGCCCAGCCCATCCCTCAAACCTGTCCAGGCCCCTCTCATGCCCTGTGAAGGCTGACCTAGAACAGAGATTAGAGGAGCTAAAGAGTAAAGTTGGGATTTATTAGGAGGCCTCAATAGAGCCCAGCCAGGGCTAAACCTTCAGATGGACCCAAAATGGTCACAAAATACCCCACTGGTCATAGGGTCTCTCGCTTTTATGATTTTTTACCTATTTGCATATTGAACTTAATTGTCCAATTACAGCCCCAGCCCATTCAGTCCCATCCTTCTTGTTTTTCTCTCTTCAGCCCACATTGTTTTCACTCTTGGGTCTGAGATCTGGCTCATTTACATCAGACTCCTGCAAGCAAGAGATGTTTAAAATGTGTAAGTTTGTTTATGTGATCTTTAACACAATCACTGTAGTAAAACATTACTAGCCTCCCTAAAATGGTATATAAGTGTTTGTGTCCCACGATAAAATCAGATTCTTTGACCATGTCAAAGTCTTCCCTGTCTCTCCTCATCCCTGACAGGTTTCCTTCCCCCTCCCTGGCCAGCAGGGCACTGTGAGGAGCAGGAAAGGCCTTGGCTCTGTGCAAGCACAGCTCAGCAATGAAAACCCCTAGTGTTTGCATGGAGATTCTGGGGAGAAAAAGGGAATCAGTACATTGATAGGAGAGGAAGCATTTTCATCTACTTCTTTATGTGCTGGTGATGGTGAGAAAGAGGGGTTTTGGTCTGAGTGTTTCCAGGACACTCATTCATGTTTTGCTGTCACTGTGCTCGCCATCAAGGTGAGAATATAAAGAGATAATAAACTACAAAGAGCAAAGGGTGTAAATGAGAGATTCCAGAAAAACCCAGGAGTCTGAATTCACTCCATTTTACACTGTGAGACAGAGGAGGACATCCTGCCCTGCTTGTTCTCTTACAGATATTTTTGTTTTCCACCAGAGCATGTGGTTTTGAACTTCTGAGCAACAGCTTTGGTTAAAGGAACTTACACCAGCCAGGAGCAGTACCCATGATCTGTCTCTTGCTGGGAAGTGATTATTTCTTCCCTTTGGTCCTTGCTCCTGGGATTTGTTCATCTCTGGGCAGAGGTAAACCAGGCCTCTGAGGAGGCAGGGGCCTGCTGGCCTCATCAACACCATGCAATGTCCTGGCAGCCCCTGGAGCTGTTCTCAAGTTTTTAAAAACTCCTAACTCTCTCCAGCCCTGATGTTACAAGAGTGTAGCACCAAAGGAGAGGAGTATTCCCAGTCTCATCTAGATTTGTGTTGATGTGATCCCGCCGTTCCTTCAGAAAAGGAAACTTTTGTGTTTGCTAAAAAGCTAAGAGCAATTACCTGGAGCTAACAAGAACTTCGGCAATTAGACTGACTCCTGAGATTCAGAACTTTCCTAGCTGGTGATTTGCCCTCTCCCCAATTCTCTACAGCCCAGTATCTCCTCTGGGAGGGACCCAGCTAAACACAAAGGCCTAATTAAAACTTGGTGAAACTCCAATGCCTTGGGACGTCTGCACTCAGAGTCTTGGAAAGAAACTTCATGGAGAAGAGGGAATAGGCAGCCAGGGATGTGAGCAAGGGCACAGGGGAAGAGCTGGAGACACTGAAAGCCAGAGGGAAACTCAGGATACTAATAATATTAATGACTGCAGACATGCTGCAGTGAGTTCCTCATCTGTCCCAGTGTAAGGTCAAAATAATCTGCTCATTAACACAAGGTTAATAATTGCCTTGTTTCAGGGCAGGTTTGCTGTGAGAGCTGAGGCACCACAGCTGTTCTGTGTAGGGCTGATGACAGAGGTCAGCTCTGGGAGGACAAATGGGCTGTCAGCAAGGCAGATCTGCAAGGACACAGAAGCTCAGAGCTGGAAGGGACCTGCCAGGACCATCAGAGCTCCTGGCCCTGCACAGGGCACCCCAGGAGTCACAACACGTGTCTGACAGCATTGTCCAGACACCCCAGGAGCTCAGATGGGCTTGGTGCTGAGCCCACTCCCCTGGGGAGGCTCTTCAGTGCCCAACCACCCTCTGGGTGAAAAAAATGTCCTTGATATCCGACCTAAACCTCCACTCAGTCAGCTCCAGCCTTTTCCTCAAGTCCTGTCACTGTCGTGAGGGTGAAGAGCTGGACACCTGCCCTCAGTGCCCCTCAGGAGGAGGGAGCAGAGCACAATGAGATCTGACCCCAGGGTCCTCTCCTCCAGGCCTACAGAACTCCACAATTTCAAGAAACTTCTCCATTGGAGTAGCACCTATGGTCACAAATTATGTCACTGTCCAATGGAGGGCTCAGAGGTGATGAGAATCCTCTTGTGAGGCCAGGCTGAGGTAGCTGGGGCTGGTCAGCCTCCAGAACACTGAGAGGGGACCTTATCCCCATGTAAAAGAATCTGCAGGCAGGTTGTCAGTGGTGAAGAGAGACAGGGAAGACTGATTTGGTGATCAGCATCTGATTTTATTGTGGGATACAAACACTTCTCTACTATTTAGGGAGGCTAGTCATGTTTTACTACAGTGATTTGGTTAATATTCACATAAATATAGATTTTAAACATCTCTTGCTTGCAGAAGTCTGATGTCATTTGCTTTTTCCTGCAAACCCATCTGTTCTGATCTTCTTGCAATCTTGATTTAATCCTCAAAGTTCTGTTATTCCCACATTATCCTGTTATCAAAGCTCTTGTGCTAAGCAGGACCAAAGTTCATAATCTCTCTTGTGTCCCCCAATATCCCAACAGGTGGTTGTGTACAGGGCGTTCCCCCCACAAGCTTCTCTACTATTTCGGGAGGCTAATAATGTTCTACTACAGTGATTGGGTTAATAATCACATAAACAAATATAGATTTTAAATATCTCTTGCTTGCAGAAGTCTGATGTCATGTGCTTTTTCCTGCAAACCCATCTGTTCTGATCTTCTTGCAATCTTGATTTAATCCTCAAAGTTCTGTTATTCTCATGTTATCCTATTATCAAAGCTCCTGTGCTAAGCAGGCCCAAAGTTCATAATCTGTCTTGTGTCCCCAGCATCCCAACAGAAGGTTGTGTACAGGGCATTCCCCCCACAAGAACTTATCTCTTGTTTGTCAGATAAATCAAACAAATTCTCCTATAGAGAGATACTTTGGGCCTGTGGTTATTGGTTATTTTGGGGTTAATATGGTCTAGCATCTCCCAGCTGCCCAAAACCACCTTCTGTTGGAATTCATGTCCTTAACTTTCCAATATCATTTCAGTTTTGAAGATTTAACATAAATAATTTTATTAACAGTTACAGAGCTTTACAGTGGTTAGGTTCTTCAAATGCCTAGACTTGGTCTAACATGTGTAAACAATTTCTCTAAAAGAAATGTCTTTGAGGCAGTGGGGCAGGAATGCAATTTTGCACACCTCTTTTTTTTTCCAATAACAATCTCAGAATTAATAATCAGTACTCATTAATTTTCTGGGCTCCACATTATAGCCTGAATTATGTCCTCTCCTTTCCCCAAAGAAATTTACTAAACATTTTCAGGAAATAAGTGCAAACAGATGAAAACTTATTCTTTTCAGTTCTTTCAGTAAAATCAGGCTCCTGAATATTACTCTTCTGTTCAAAAAGTCAGAAGTATGTAAAACACAATTTTAAAGTTTCAGAAAAAGAAAAAGAAAAAGAAAAAGAAAAAGAAAAAGAAAATGTTTATTTAGTTAAGAATTTCTTAAGTATGTGGAAGAAGTTTCCTTCCAAAATGTTAACATATCTTCTAACACTCCCTCTTACAGCTGAAAATCTCCACTCTTCTCCCTCTTTCCTTCCAAAAGCTGAAGTGTATCTGGAAATTCATTTCACTGAACAGAATTTAGAGTGAAAAATACCAGAAACAAACACCTGAAACACCCCAAATATTCCATTTCATTTCCACAGTAAATTCGTTTTTCTCCATTTTTTCTTCAGGGCTCCTTTCACCTCCTTATTCCTCAAGCTGTAAATGATGGGATTCAATAAAGGAGTCAGCACAGAATAAGAAAGTGAGAGGAATTTATCCACAGATGCACAGTAGGTGGATTTTGGCCTCAGATACACAGAGCCTGCAGTGCCATAAAACAGAGTCACAACCAGGAGGTGTGAGGAGCAAGTGGAAAACGCTTTCTGCTGGCTCTCAGCTGATGCCATGCGAAGAATTGTGGAAATTATATGAATATAAGAATAAATTATCAGTAAGAAAGGGCTGAGAATAGCAAAGACAGCCACCACAATGACCTGGAGCTCTCTTGGGAAGGTGTTGCCACAGAGCAGGTCCAGCAGGGGCTGAATCTCACAGAAGAAGTGGTCGATGGCAGAGCCACACAAGGGTGAGCTGAAGGTTATGAGGGTGTGAATTAAGCCCACAGCAGCCCCACAAATGTAACTCCCAGCAACCAGGCTCCTGCAGACCCTGCTGCTCATGATAATTGTGTAATGCAAGGGGTGGCAAACTGCAAAATAACGATCGAGGGACATGGCAGCCAAGAGAAAACATTCAGCCACCCCGAAGAAAAGGAAGGAAAACATTTGCATTGCACATCTTGTCCTGGAAATACTTACTGTTCCCACCATCAGGTTCTCCAGAATGGTTGGGATAATGACTGATAAATAGCAGATATCCAAACAGGACAGCTGAGTGAGGAAGAAATACATCGGGGTGTGAAGGGTGTGATCAGTGTTTATTGTGAAAGCTATCACTGTGTTAGCCATCAAGGTGAGAACATAAAGAGATAATAAAACTACAAAGAGCAAAGGGTGCAAATGAGACATTCCAGAAAAACCCAGGAGTCTGAATTCACTCAGTCCACTGAGGTTCCCAAGGATCATCCTTCTTTGGTGCCTTGTAGAACTCTCTTTGTTTTAGATGAAGCTGCAAACAGCCAGGCAAATCTGCAATCAAAAACAACTCCCTGCTTGAACAGACAAAAGGATGACTGGAATTTATGTGAAATGATCTTCTGAACAGTTTTTAAAAAAGTCTAAAGAAAATAAGGCAGCCTTATGCCTTTATTTTTGTCTCTATTTTTGACAGACTCTTCTTTCATAGCATTGCCTTCAAAGCTTGCATATTCACTACTGTCTTCAAATGCTCAGCTAGCATTTTTACCCTGTAGAAAAAGAAAAAAAAATATGGCAGATATCTTTTTATAGACTAATCAGTTCAAGTGCCAAAATCATCAGTAGCAATATTTGAATAAAACAAAGGTAATTTCTCTGTTACCTGTTGTGTAGTGTGGTGGAAGACGAGGAAGGGAAAAAACCCCCTATGAGATCTGCAGAAAAGCTTTAAACTCTGAGCACTCTGCAGTGAAGCAGAAGAGAGGCTTTTCCACAGCTCTTTATCCTCTATTTATATGTATTTATAAAGTCCACTGAGACTGGCTAGTGCTGATTGGAGCAATAAGGAATAGTTGTTAGAGGGTGGATAAACATGATGCATGTGTTTGAGTTGACTCACAGCACCTCTAGTTGCACATAGCTTGGAAAGCATTTCTATATACACCCAGATATCTACAGAAATATCAAGATCTGGTTTTACTTTGCAGTAATTACTATTACTTCATAATGCAGCCAAATTAATGACAGAGTTGCCACACAGGCTTACAATACTCCTGCTTTCTCAATAAAATTTGAAGGTGAAGCAAAGATGCAGTCCACATTCATCTGGGGATAAGGGACAAAATATTCACTCATTAAAAATCTTAATTTTTATTGTGTCCTATTAAAAAATCTTTTTTATTTAGCTGTTGTTTGGTTTATTGTGTGGCTTCTTATTCAGATCCATCAGCAACCCAACATTGTCTCTCTCACCACCATGCCCCTTTCAAGGCCAAACAGATTGATTAAAAGTTGAATTACTGGCTGATACTCACATTTCCAGTGTGAAGACATCTCATTCACTCTGATCCTTTCTCCCCTGGCTGTAGGACTGTATTTGCCACTTTTATCCTTAGTAACTGATCTGGAGTGGCCTCTGCATCACATCATATCCTGTGAACAGCAGAAAGTGATTTTGAAGGGAAAAACCACCTATTGTGATGTGGTTTTTATATGGTGACAGGTTGAAAGTACAGTATCTTTGTTTAATTAAATAGAAATTATTATCCACAGAGGAAAATCTCTGAGAAATCTGAAGGACCTATCTGTGATGGTATGATCTATTCTCCCATAGGAGACCTTTCCTGCACCATTAATTAGAAAATAATAAAACCAGAGTTAGACATGAGTTATGCACATGTTCTCCTCCTGCAAAACCTTTAAAGTGATTTTCCTGTTTCTCTTTGTAGTTTGTCTCCACATCAAATTTTTATCCCTTCATTCAGGCAAGATCAGGCCCAAGACCACAAAAGGTCAAAACATAACAGATTAAAATAGATATGCAAGTGCTCTGTAGGTCTTTCTTTGGGGTTTGTTCTAACAGGAGAACCAGAGAAAGAGTTGTGCTGTACCTAAACAGTGAGAAGAAAATGACTGACTCCTCCAACTGCAGCAGTCAATACCCACCAGACTCTTTTCCTCTGGGAACACAGATAGAAATACTTGAGATTTGTGATGTGGCTTTTCCAAAAGCATTAACCACAGATTTCTCCTACTGGCAGGTGAGCTACTTTATTTTATTTCATTCTTCTGTCTCTTCTTCCAGATGTTATTGTCCTCTGGCACTTACACAGGTAGGAGTTCTCTTTCAGGCAGACTTACAGCCTAGAAAGTAAAGTAAAAATGAAAGTAAAAAACTGATTATTGGAATAGAAGATCAATACCAAGATATTGTTGTATTCTCGAAAAAAACCTGCTACACCTGAAACATGCCTAGGATAAATGTTATTTCCTGGGGTACAATCTATATTATTTAGTCATTTTTGCGTGGCACTGTGGTGAATATGTGGAATTATCTGTGTTCAGTAGGTAATTCTTTCGTGGTATGGACCCCATCCAGAGAATGATTGCCTGGACTCAGATATTAAACTGTGGTTTAGGGTTATTCATCAAATCTCTCTATTCTCCATGTGTGTTGGGAGTGCAGACAACTTCCTCCCATGGGATTAAAGATGGCAAAGCAAATATATTTATATAATAAAATGAAATATTTATTTAAATTTATTGCAATGATTAAGCAGAATTAACTTGATCAGAATTGTTTGCTACATAGCATAGGTAGCCATAACTACTAATATAGTATAGTGCACTAGTTTTGAAGGAATAGAGAAGCAATTATATTAAATCTAGCAAAACAGTTATTAAATAGAGATCGATGTTACCCATGCAACAACCATGAGCAAACCTATTTTGTTGAGCCTTGAGAAGTGACCTCAAGGGGCTTCCCTACTCAAGAGAGGGATCTTCACACACCTTAGGGAGGGATGCTAGAAGTTCTCACCATGCAAAAGTGGGACTGCCCTTCTACAGCATGATTGTCTGCCAGTCTGATACATTTTTAGATTTTGTTTTGTCAGGTTTATTCAGTAAAATATGCTTTGCTGCTGAAAAAGATGTTAGAAGCTCTTTGGTTTCTTCCATGTGAAGGCCGGGATATCCCTGCTCCTCCTGCCCTCAGATCAGGGAATGTCTGTTTCCATGGTGTTGGAAATGATAGAACTTTACAAATACCTCTTCCAGCTAATTGTTTTAACTAAATTTTCTAATTACTTCTTTTAATTAATCATAAGCAGTGTAATTTTCCACTCTGTCATATGCCACTGTAGCCAACATTCAGCAAAGGTTTGTCATAAGCTGCTACAGTGGGAGCACAGCTTGGGAAAATTCCTGAAGATTTAAGTTTAAAACAACTGTAATCAACTTTGATATGCTTCAATGGTCTCATACCTGGAAGAGGGATTTATTGCTGAAGTTGGACACAAGGAATGCAGAATTTATGAGCCATGAGGCCATTGTTCAGAACCCTAAGATAAACAGGGAACTAACAAAGACAATTCAGCAGTTGCACTGTAATCCCATTGTCCTGGTTTCAGCTAGGGTAGAGTTAATGTCTTCTTTAATTTCTTCTTTAGCTGCGGTTTGGATTTGGAATGAGAATGGTGTTGATAATACACTGAAGTTTTAGGTTTTGCAAAGTCATATTTATCCTGAGTCAAGGACTTTTTGTTTCCTCATCTTCTGCTCTGCCAGTGAGGAGGTTCCCAAAAGAAACTGGGAGAGAACCCAGCTGGGACAGGTGACCTGACCTGCCCAAAGGGACACCCACACCCTAGAACATCATGCCTGGAATTTGAACTGGGAGGAGCTGCCCAGAAGGGCAGCTGATCTTAGTTTGGGAAGGGGGCTCTGGCATCAGGTGGTGTGCAATTGCATTGTACATCACTTGTTTGGTCCCTTTTCATTATCATTATTAAGTACTGCCATTGTTGTACTTGACTTTATTTTCAGATATTAAACTGTTCTTAATTCAACAGACAAGTTTTACTTCAAATCTCCTCCCCTTTCCACCAGTGTGGGGGGGAAGAAGAGGTGGTTGAGCAAGCAGCTGCGTGGTGCTTAATTTCCATCTGGGTTTAAAACACGAGACCTCTTTCTATCTGGGAAAAAGATAATAAAAAGACTGAAAATATGGACTAATTAGCATGACAAGCAAGAAGTCAATAACCAATAGAAGACAGAAAACTAATTAATGAAGAGCATTATGCAATTTACAGCCAATAAACATTAATTTCTTGGTTTGCTAAAATGTATGAATAATGCAAAGTTTTGAAAGAGCATGTGCATGTTTAGAGGAGCACTGTAATAATGTGCTTTCTGATACTAAAAGTAGCATTAGAAAGCTTAATTTATCCTGATGTTTTCTGTGACAGTGGTGGGTAGTTTGGTCAAGCTGCTCTCAGTGTCCTTCAACACTAAAAACAGGAGATCCTCCTTGCTCAATTCCTGGTAAGGTGTAAGCAGCTGGAGCTGCTGTGTCCCTGCTCAGGCAGAGTGTCCTGCTCCAGCTGGCACCCCTGACTGACAGCCCATCCCTCCAGACTGTAAAAGCCCTGTCCCACTCTTTAACACGACACACTTTAACCCCCCCTTCTCAGTGTGGAGATTTCTCCCTTGAGTGGGAACACCCAGCAAGGTTTCACTTTGAGACTGAGAAAAAGAGACTTGCTCAGGGCTGTTGGCAAGGGTGAGTAATGTCAGTCTCTACTTAACATTCATTTTTCTACCTTTAATATAATTGCTTCAATATTGCCTCCAAATACTAAGCTATATTAGTAACAATAACTATCTACACTGCGGAATAAAGAATTCTAATTAAAACCTTTTAGTCTAGCCATTAGAATCATCATCATCCATTTAAATAAATCATTCCCTCATGTTTGAGAAGGCGTGTAGAAAACAAGGACACCTTTGCTAAAAAACGCAGCGCTAATCTTCCATTATGCTTCAGCCAGGGCCACAGTCTGACTGCAGCACTCCCAGGGTGCTCTGAGTGCTTGTCTGACACACATCTCTGGGGTGTGGAAACCCTCCTCTTCCTCGCTGAAGGCTGGTGGGCTGTGCACAGCACAAAGCGGCTGCGGAGATCATAGCCCGTCTGTGGGGATCTCCTCTGCTCCCTCTGCTTGGGAGCCTTGAGCACAGGAACCTCCTTCAAGCAGGTGTTGGAGGGCCCTGAGGCTGTGTTATCCACTGGGGCTTTGTCACAACGTGGAGGACTCGTTCTCCCCCTGTTCTTCTTGCCCAGAGAGGGGTGGAGGGCGCGCTGCACAGAGCGGCTGCGGAGGTCACAGCCCCACCGCGGCGATCTCCTCTGCTCCCTCCACCTTGGTGGGGCTTGCTCTCCATCAACCTTGAGTACGGCAGCCTGCTTCAAGCTGGTGTTGGAGGGC